AGCTGTCAGGCACAAATGCAGGAAGTCGCGAGTCTGGAATGGTACACGCCATGAAAACAGGTGCCCTGTGGTAAGGAGTCATTGGTGACTCCGCTTGACCTCCTGCCCACCACGCTGGCACTCCCGCATGACTGGGTTTCCTGTCGGCACTTTGGAAAGGACCCAACGTTTATCATTTTATGCCCAAAGTTTTCTTTGTAATTTCTTGCATCCAGCTTTGGGTGAGTCAGAGACCGGGAGATTTGGTGCTCAAGATAAAGCAGGAAAGGATTGCCCACATCCACTGAAGTCAAGGCTGGGTGAGCCAATTACAGTCACCGTTAAGGAGAAGTCATGCAAGCTCATTCTCACCTGTTTGGGCTGAGACCAGTTCATGAAAACCACCTTGGGAAGGGTGCTTATAGTGTGCCACCTCTCACATCAAGTCAGATATGAAGGAAAAGTCCCTCTAATGAATGGGACTGTGCAACCCTGTCCTATCGGTCATGTGATAGATTAGTGTTTCTCAACTTGGGGAGGTTAGAAGGGGGTCTCAGAGAGGTCACCAAAGACCATCAGAAAACACAGTATTTTCTCTTGGTCATGGAGGTTCTGTGTGGAAAGTTTGACCCAATTCAATCATTGGTGGGGTTCAGAATGCTCTTTGATTATAGATGAACTATAAATCACAGCAACTACAACTCCCAATTGTCAAGTTCTATTTTCCCCAAACTCCACCAGTGCTCACATTTGGGCATATTGAGTATTCATGTAGAGTTTAGTCCTGATCCATCATTGTTTGAATCTACAGTGATCTTTGGATGTAGGTGAACTACAATTCCAAAACCAAAGGACACTGCCCACCAAACCCTTCCAGTATTTTCTGTTGGTCATGGGAGTTCTGTCTGCCAAGTTTGGTTCAATTCCATTGTTGGTGGAGTTCAGAATGCTCTTTAATTGTAGGTGAGCTGCAAATCTCGGCAACTACAACTCCCAAATGACAAAATCAATCCCCCCTACCCCACCAGTATTCAAATGTCGGCACATTGGGTATTTGTGCCAAATTGGTCGAGTGAATGAAAATACAGCCTGCATTTCAGATATTTACATTACGATCCATAACAGTTGCAAAAATACAGTTACGAAGCAGCAATGAAAATAGTGTTATGGTTGGAGGTCACCACCACATGAGGAACTGTATTAAGGGGTGGCAGCATTAAGAAGGTTGAGATCCACTGCGATAAAGGAAGGAAAAATTCCCTCTATCGCTTTATCAACGGGACTATACAAGGCTGAGGGAAAAGTCCCTTTACTTCCTACAAACAGAAACTCCCAGTGATTGATTGCTCTCTCTTCCAACAATACTCAAAGAGCGGCATTTCCACGAAATGGGAAGAACAGATGGCTCCCTTGCCCACAGGGCAGCAAATATGCTGTGACTTTTAGTCTGAATTTGAAAGGAAGGATTCAAGCAGCCGTATTTCATGTTGCAAAGAGATTCAGCACCTTGGATAGCTCATCTCCTTACTAACTTGGAAACCAATGGCAGTCATTGGTAGAAAGACCCGGGGCCAATGGATGTGTCGTTGCACGTCCTTTGCATTTGTTGTTCCAGTTTATGTATCTATTGTAGGACTTTCTGGAGCTGAGAGTGTGCGACTTGCCTATGTCTCCATGATTCAAGCTTGGGTCTCCAGAGTCTTAGCCCAATACAAAAACAACTATGCTAACTTTTTCTGCCAAATAGCAACTCCCAGAATCCTATAACAATGAACCACGGCAGTTCAAATAGTGTCAAACTGCATTAACCCTCCCTTTTTAAAAACAAACAAACTCCCCAATCCCATCTCTTCACCCCTAAATCCCTCACAACTTTGAAGTTTTTTGGATGAAACTGATTATCTGGATCCATCTCAATCTGGTTTCAGACCTGGTTATGGAACTGAAGCGGCATTGGCACCTTGCTGGGCGATCTACAAAGAGAGCTAGACACTCAGGGGGAGGGTGTTACTGTTGGTTCCCCTGCCTGGACTTCTCAGCAGCTTTCAATACCATTGACTATTGGATCCTTCTGGGCTCTCTCTCGGGGATGGATCTTGGAGGCACTGTTTTGCAGTGGCTCAGGCCCGTAGCCAGGATCTTGATTTGGGGGGGGGGGCTGAGTTTGATTTGGGGGGGGCTGAGTCTGAGTGAAAGAGGGTCTACCCTAGCAAACCTTTTGTATCGTTACCCCAATACCCCCATGCATATGAGATATATTGAGCATGGTGATCAGATCATGATATTTATTTATTTATTTATTTATTTATTTATTTATTTATTTATTTCGGGTACTTTTACCCCGCCCTTCTCAACCCCCGAGGGGGGACTCAGGGCGGCTTACAAAAGGCACAATTCGATGCCTATACAAAAATTATACATAGTGTACAAAACCATAGTTAAAACAATTATCACAGTTAAAACAATCATAACAATCAATATGCATCACATCATATAAAAACTATTCTCATGCTCAGCGTTCGTCTTTCAGAGTTCCAAATTCCATTCCATTAGTCATTTCCTGGCCATTCTCAAAGTCCTTTCTTTATCTGCACGATTGTCCGAATGCCTGGTCCCAAATCCATGTTTTCAGTTTTTTCCTGAAGGAAAGGAGTGATGTCGCTGATCTAATTTCCCCGGGGAGTGAATTCCACAGGTGGGGGGCCACCACCGAGAAGGCCCTGCTCCTCGTCCCCGCCAACCTCACTTGTGATAGAGGCGGGGTCGAGAGCAGGGCCTCCCCAGAAGATCTTAGACTCCGGGGTGGGACGTAAAGGGAGATCCGTTCAGACAGATACACTGGGCCGGAGCCGTATAGGGTTTTGTAGGTCAAAACCAGCACTTTGAATTGTGCTCGGAACTGGATCGGCAGCCAGTGGAGCTGACACAACAGGGGGGTGGTATGCTCCCTGTATGACGCTCCGGTGAGCAATCTGGCTGCCTCCCGCTGGACTAGTTGGAGTTTCCGAACAGTCTTCAAAGGCAACCCCACGTAGAGTGCATTGCAGTAATCTAATCGGGATGTAACAAGAGCGTGGACCACCATGGCCAGATAAACATAACAGTTTAAATAATGTACCAGTAAGGCCTTTTCACAAACCACCATGAGAATTTCGGAGGGGGGGGGGCTACATGCCTGCAGTGGCTCCAGTCCTTAATGGAAGGCCGGACCCAGATGGTGGAGCTGGGGGACTCCTGTTTGACTCCCTGGCCGGTGACCTGTGGGGTCCCTCAGAGTTAAAGTCTGTTTCCCATGCTGTTTAATATTTACATGAAACCACAGGGAGAGATCATCCAGAGTTCTGGAGTTTGGTGTCAAATGTATGCAGATGACACCCAACTCTACTACTCCTTTCCACCAAAAGCCAAGGATGCCTTTCTGGTCCTGAACCAGTGCTTGTCATCAGTAATGGACTGGATGAGCGCTAATAAGTTGAAATTAAATCCAAACAAGACAGAGGTACTCCTGGTCAATCAGAAGGCAGAACAGGTTATAGGGTTACAGCCTGTGTTGAAGGGGGTTACACGCCCTCTGAAGACAATCTGGGGCTGATCCTGGATTCATCGATGACCCCGGGACCTCAGATGTTGGTGGTGGCAGGAGACCCTTGGCACAATTGAAACTTGTGTGTCAGCTGTGCCCGTCCCTTGAGACACCAGATCTGGCCATGGTAGTCCACACCTTAGTCATATTCCATCTGGACTACTGCAATGCTCTCTACACGGGGCTGCCTTTGAAGATAGTTTGGAAGCTTCACCTAGTTCAGAGATCTGCAGCCAAGTTACCAACTGGGGCTCCATACAAGGAGAGAACCATTCCCATGTTACACCAGCTCCATTGGCTACCAGTCTGCTTCTGGGCTAAATACAAAGTGCTGGTTGTAGCTTGTAGTAGTAGTAGTAGTAGTAGTAGTAGTAGTAATACCTCTTTATTTATATTCCGCTCTAACTCCCTGGAAGGACAAAGGGCAGATTCCAAAGATAAAAGGTAAACATTCAATGCCCGAATACAACAACAATACATCCACACTAACAAAATTTAATAACCTAACACATAAACACAAATTATGACATAAACAACTAAAGTTAAATTAAAAACACAGCCTGTTATAACAAACATAAGACAGAAACAACAATTCCCCAGTTCCTTGGGGCAAATAGATTGATCATTGCTCAAAATATCTATTGAGGTGGTGGGGCGAGCACAACACCAGTGCTTCTCAACCTGTGAGTCCGCAGGTGTTTTGGCCTACAACTCCCAGAAATCCCAATGAGTTTACCAGCTGTTAGGGTTTCTGGGAGTTGAAGGACAAAACATCTGGGGGCCCATAGGTTCAGAACTACTGTTCCAAACAGTTTGGGTCCAGGCTATTTGACACACTGCATCTCCCTACACTGTGCTCAATGGAGGAGGCCCTCCTCTCAGTCCCACCCCCATCTCAAGCACGGCTGGTGGGAATGAGAGAGGGGCCTTCTCCATGATCGCCCTCCACCCCCCCGGAACCCCCTCCCAAGAAATAAAAACAACCCCCCTCCTTCCTCTCCTTTAACAAACTGCTGGAAACACACTTGTGCAGTTTAGCCTATGGAAAGGAAGAGGAATAGGACACTGTAAGGACAACTGTCTTGGACGTTGGCCATTTCATCTTGACCTGCAGACGGTTATAAATAATTTAAAATCATGTTATTCATAGTATGTACTCTGATATTGTTGTTTTATGGGGTTTTGTGTTTGTTTAGTAATTTATGAGTTTCATAATAATGTTATTTTGCACTGTTATTGATTTGTGTGTATGTCTATCACCAAGGCATTGGATGTTTGCCCTGAGTTTCCTGCGGAGATAGAGCATCCCGTAAATAAAGTGTTGTTGTTGTTGTTGTTGTTGTAATGTCAAACACCAATATATTTCCAGTCCTCTTGGTGAATTTTCCACCCGAAAGCCATGTACAAACATGGGGGAAAAATCAATCTGTGCTGCAACTAAGTTTGACAAAAGTTTTATTTCTGGTATAAAAAGCATTTCTAGAAATATTTCTCTTGCAACAACACCACGAGACAAATACAAACAAGTGGCACTGCGTTTCCCCACACTGCATTATTAAGTTATACATACAGTTAAAGTGCTTGAAGGAAATAAAACAACAAAGGACAAGGAACTCAAAGGAATGTTCAAACCGACAGGTTAAGCATTGTAGTGCAACACTAGCATCTCCTTGGCATACGGAAAAGGTTGGGAAAGTATCTTCTCACTGGCCACCCAAAAGGAGAACACATACATTTCACAGTTTACACCAGGCATGAGCAAACTTTGGCCCTCCAGGTGTTTTGGACTCCGACTCCCACCATTCCCAACAACCTCGGGCCCTTTCCTTTCCCCCCTCAGCCGCTTAAGCTGAGTGCTGGGCCCATAACCAGTGTGAGGCTCTGCTTAAGCGGCTGAGGGGGGAAAGGAAAGGGCCCGAGGCTGTTGGGAATGGTGGGAGTTGATATCCAAAACAACCGGAGGGACAGAGTTTGCCCATTCCTGGTTTATACCTTTATGGATTGAGATGTAACATAACAGGATATGGACAACCAAAGGTTGCCATGCATGCCAGCTACTGCATGGAAACAACTCTGAATTGGTCCCTTTCCCAAAAGATACCAAAAACAATACATTTGTTGGAAAGCCAAAATATAAAGGGGAGGTTTTGATCTTCCCTTTTATGTCTCGCTTGTACTGACATCGCTTTGCAAAGGTTTGGAATAACGTTCAACATGCAACGCAGGCAGTCGTTTGCAGCCGAGGAGGTTGAGTTGGCTGGGAAGCGCGTTTGGGGCCATCTGCCCTTTTCATGAATGTTTGATTTGGCCCATTTCCACCATCAGTAACATTACCCTGAGCTTTCCATCTTCGCCCCAGAGCATTGGTCCAGAATGTATATAATACAATATACAATAAATAAATAAATATCCTTCTCCCCATCGGGAAAAAAGACAAAGGGTTTCCGAACATCTGTGACCTATCTGTCGGTGTGGAACGCTTCCTTTGAGCCTGTTCCAACACACAAGGAGGAGGGCTGGAAATCCCCCAACCCACCACAGTAGATATTTGCAATATGGACAATATAGGGCATCAGTAAGCAGAGGATGGATTCTGGATCATAGCTAGTAAGGGGAAGGTCCTTTTTTGATAATACAATTCCCAGAATCCCCAGGCACTGTGGTCACTGGGAGATTTGGGAAACTGTAGGTCAAAGAAGGAACTTTCCTCCCCACGCTCCCCACTGATCACTTTGCAGTGGACGGTGTAATGCTTTCCAACAGCTTGACCTGGCAGAATGTATCAATACATTAAGATATATCCTGGGAATTAAATATGGCTTACTTATGTTCAAAGATCCTGGGTATATACCAGTGATTCCCAACCTTTGGGCCTCCAGGTGTTTTGGACTTCAGATGGCAAGATGGCTGGGATTTCTGGGAGTTGGTTCAAAACACCCGGAAGCCCAAAGACTGGGAACCACTGGTATATAGTCAATGGCTTTACAAATGTAAGGTGCCAGTAGATGGTAGAAGATTCTAGTAAAACAGAGGCGAGATGTTTGCTGGATTGCAGTTTCCATTATTTGCCCTCCTTGATTTCACTGCCTAAGGATTATGGGAATTGTGGTGAAATAATCAAGATGGAAACACACGTTCTCCATGCTTGGCGGAGACCATGCATGATTACCTTCATCTCCTCTGCTCTGGCCACCAAGTTTAAGCCTAACAAATTAATTTTGAGCTCTCCCAGGATTTGACCATGGGTGGTATTTGCCCCATGGCCTTGGCCTTAACCTTCTGCTTCTTCTGAACCATTCCATGATCATAAAGTCATTCAGCCCTTTGGGTTCCAAACCCCAACCATCCAGAATGTGACCCTTGCCAATGACCAACCAAAATGGACCATCCCCAGATCCTTCCACACCACCTCAGTCATTCTCTCCATCCTACTGGAGTCTCTAGATGTTTCAGATGGTGGATACACTGTGACCGTCCAGATACTCTTGGACTCCAATTCACATCTGACTCCAACCACAAGTATGATGTGAATTGAAGTGCAGTATCTGTAAAATCAACCTAAGATTCTTTTCTACCTTCACCAGTATTTGATTCTGATGATGCACCCCATGATGCATCCTGACCTGGAGGCTTCTAAGATGCTTCTACTGGGTTACAACCCACTTTCTCTTCCTAGAAAATCAGCTATGGATACCTGTCTTGCTACAGGCAGCCCCCAGCTTGCTACTCAGGTGGAAAATAGCTTCTTCAGCACAAAAATGAAGAGAAAGCGAGATACGTCAGGCACTGTGTGATCACCGATGGTAAGAAACCAGAAGGTCCATTATTGGATGAACGTAGCAATGGCAACCATGTTCAGCAAGCCCAGCCAGAAGGATAAAGATGACTTGATGGCCAAATTTCCTGGTGGCAAGCTCTTACTCTTGCTTGTCGTGGGAGATGAGCTGACCAAATCCTCAGTCACAAGCGTTTCGTTGAACCAATCCTCTTGGGAAATGCAGGAATAGGTCCCATAGAGGTCATCCGTCATGTTGTCAATGAAGTGGATACAATGATGGTGGCCTGCACTGCAATGTGCAATGCTCTGACCCTTGTGGGTCCACGTGTAATTGGCATGGTGGGACTCAACAGAGCAATTCAGATAATAGCGGGCATGGAGTGGCACAGGTATGTTCTCATGGCGAATAGTGTCATCTTCTGGGTGGGAAGAAGAGAAGAGTCAATGGTCAGAGAAAATTGATGCCCTTGGTGGACATTCTGAATGGGAACATCCATCAACCGTGAGGGAAGTAGCATGGTTTGAACCATGCAGAAGAGCAAGGTTAACTCAAAATATACAGCTGCTATACTCCAATGGTGTCAAGCTTTGACCCTAAACTCTCGGGATTCCTCAACATTTTCCTTCCTGGCTGGGACTTCACAATAGATCTGGACTTCTAATATATCTGGAGGACCAACATTTCAGATTGATATCTTTAGGTTGGACCTAAGAAGTTTCAGAAGTCAATCCATCAAAAAATCTAATTCAGTGTTGCTTCTAAGCATAAGTACTCAGACATCAACAAACCAAATCTGAAGATCACTGAATGCAGAAGTTCTACCTACCTACCTTAGTGCCGCCTCTCAATATATATAACTATCATATATATGAGAGTTTGCGCAGAATTTGAACAAGGTGTCACCTTGCCTGAACTCCCAGACTCCTAATTCAACACTCAAACCAACACACACACACACACATATATACACACAGATACGTACGTACATACATACATACATACATACACACACACACACACACACTTTTGGAATAGACAGGGAGGGTTTATTTTGGAAGGTTACCTTTTGTGTTGCTGTGGTTTGAAGATGCGCAAATATCCGGAGAGACTTCATGAGTTAGAGCCTGCAACAGCGTCCTAAGAGGAGAGGATACAAACCATCAGATAGATACACACACATGTGCAACATTTAAACAAGACAAGCTGAGTCGTATTCACGGAGCGCCTGTGTGCATTTGATCGTCGCATCTAAAACAGACAGAAGAGCCAACCCAAAAAGATGTTGGCGGTCTAAAAGAGATAATAAATGTGTCTGTGAAATGAAAGCTGGGACCCAACTGGTTTAGGATTGGTGGGACACTGACTAGTAAGAAAATGGGTTGATGCCAGTGGTTCTCAACCTTTTTTTGACCAGGAACCACTTTGACCAGGGACCACTCTCCAACATTAGTACCAAAAGGGTTACAAATCCGTTTTTGGTCAACTTTAGATTTGTTTTGGTTATCTGGGGTCCTGATTCATAAAATTGCACTGGAGAGACCACATCAGCTCTCGTTTCTGATACAGAACATATGCCATACATTAGTCGCCATCTGCTCACCCACAGAAAACCTTATTTAATCCTCTCGAGCTGATGTGGTAGTAGTAATTCTTTCGTGGGTGCTCAGCCTCTCCCTCCCGACAGCCCTGTTTCCTTGGCACTTTAAGAGAGTTTCGTGAGACCAGCCACTCTTGTTGCCGTGTGGTTTTGAGGCAACAGTGTAGTAATGTTGGCCATATTTTTGTTCTTGCGGATCACTGGTGGTCCAGAGACCACAGGTTGGGAGCTATTGCTCTATACTTTGGTACAACAATGGCATTGTGACAAATTCCTATGATTTCTTCATGATACGCATGACTTCTGGCTAGGGATGGTATGCAAGAGATGCATGCCACTCCAATTTCTGCTCCAAAATGTATACCGCAAGCCCTCAGTATCCACCGAGTTTGATTCCAGGACCCCTGTAGATGTCAAAATTCACAGATGTTCATGTCCTGTCATATGTACTAGTATAATAAAGCAGTGTCCTGTGTAAAAATGGCAAAATAAAAAAACCATATTCAAGCCATGGACCGTTGAATCAATGAGTGCAGAACCTGTGGATATGGAGGGCTGGCCATGCTGTAAAAACGATACATTGAATTGATCCTAAAAGGAAAGGTGGATTCACACACATGGAAGGGCATTATAGGAATGGAACAGCAGCACTCTGCCATGGGAAAAGCAGAACGTAGCATTTCAGGCTACGTTTGGGGGGCATTTAGAGTTAGATTTATGTATAGTGTGCTCTGTAAAATAATAATAATAATAATAATAATAATAATAATAATAATAATAATAAAATAGCAACAACAACAACAACTGGCACAAGTCATAAATGTAGTCCCAGTGGTGATTGGCGTACAGGGTGGAGTGCCTAAGAACCTTGGCCTGCACTTAAAAACCGCATTGAGTCGCCTGTTTGGGCTGAAAAATGCGGTATAGAAATAAAGCAAATAAATAAATAAATAAATAAATAAATAAATAAATAAATAAATAAATACAATTGGCACTGACAAAATTACTATCTGTCAGCTGCAAAAGGCTACCCTCCTTGGATCTGCACACACTATTCAGCAATATATCACACTGTCCTAGGCTCTTGAGAAGTGTCCGCCGTGTGATCCAATACAAGAGCCAACATAGTGATCTTGTTTGCTGGGTACTAATCTTGTTATGTATCAAATAATAATAGTAGTAATAATAACAATAATCTGTAAATGTAGAAAATGAGCCTAGCAAAAAAAAAAACTCTTCTTCTTGAAGTAATAGCTTTCTGCTTGCAGGGAGTTTTCATCTAAAAAGAGCATTTCAAAGCTAGATCTCCCCTAGCCACAGGGAGGAGGAGGAGGGAGCAAGCTTGTTTTCTGCTTCCTTGGAGACTAGGACGCAAGGGAACAATGGCTTCAAACTACAAGAGAGGAGATTCCATCTGAACATGAGGAAGAACTTCCTGACTGTAAGGAGAGCCGTTCAGCAGTGGAACTCTCTGCCCCGGGGGGAGTGTGGTGGAGGCTCCTTCTTTGGAAGCTTTTAAACAGGGGCTGGATGGCCATCTGTCAGGGGTGATTTGAATGCAATATTCCTGCTTCTTGGCAGAATGGGGTTGGACTGGATGATGGCCCAGGAGGTCTCTTCCAACTCTTGGATTCTAGGATTCTATGATTCAAAGTGGCGCCATCTGCTCTATGGCTCCATCTTCACCATCTCATTCTTCCACGTGCATTGCACGCATGGCAAGCAATTGGGATAACAAAGAAGGAAGCAATAATGGGGGTGAAGGGGCGCAAGGAATGGCTTGCATTAGGAAGGCTCACCTATTCCCGTGTTGGCCTCGGTCATAGATGGAAGCACACGTGTCCCCAGTCCATCCGCAGTGGGGGTCTCTCGCCAAGACGCAGCTCTCGCAGCTGTCCTTATACGCTTTGCACATGGCCAGGGGGAGTTGCACCACCGCGCTTGTGGAAACCACAAACAGCTCATTCTGGGAAAGAAAAGAACGCCCTTCTCTGAGGCCTTTGCTTTGAGCCTGCAAGCTGTTCCCAACTTCTGGCGACCCTAAGGCAAAACTCAGAATCTCCAGTGGGTTTCAATAGCCAAGCAGGGGTTCGGCATCCAGCCCCCAAACCACGCTGATTCCCCTTCCTTACCCTCCTGTTGTCCACAGTCATAGATCGGACGGGAGCAGACGACGGGAACAGCTGGATCTCCAGAACATTCATGGCACCCGTTGGTAACAGGACAACCTTATGGATGGTTCCTCTGTCTGCATAAAAGAGGGGAAAGAATGAATTAAGGAAGGGAACAAAGGGAATCTAGAAGGAAGGTGCGATAAGTGGCTGGACAACAAGACAACCAGGCTGAAAATAGACCGGCAGGTGGGAGTCTGGCGAGGCCTCAACGTTTTTCCATTTCAAAGGAGTAGAACCCATTAGCATGAGTTGCTCCACCACGCTTGGCTTCTCCTCCCTCCGCCCACGCGTTCCTCTCCCGCTCTTCCTGTTTTCCTCTCTCCTGGGCCTTTGAAGCTTTTTATGGAAATGTCAGCTGATGCTTACTCTTTGGCCCAAACCATATCTGTTTAAAGGATCTATGTTACGTGCTGTAGCAATACAGCGCGTGTTCTTCTAATGTGCAGTTACCGTGTATATACATGTACAAGTCTAGACGTTTTAGTGAAAAAACCCACCCAAATAAACTTAGGGTGACTTATTCATGGGTCGGTGTGAGTACCTTAATGTGTATCAAAGTAGTAGTAACACAGAAGGAGGAGGAGGAGGAGGAGGAGGGGTAAATATGTTTGATAAGCAGACATCCCGAGGAGTGAGGCTGAATGGGCCTCAAGAGGCATTGCTAACAACAAGGCAGCAGGAGACAACAGGATCCCAGCTGAACTGTTTAAATTTTGAAAGAGGATGCTGTCAAGGGGATGATGCATGCCATAGACCAGCAAATATGGAGGACACAAGAATGGCCATCAAACTGGAAAAATCCACATACCCCAATACCAAAAAAGGGAAATGCGAAAGACTGCTCAAACTTCCGTACAGTGGCCCTTATTTCTCATCACGCCAGGAAGGGAATGCTCAAGATCCTGCCAGGAAGAAGACTCCAGCCAGACATGGAGAGAAGAGAGTGGCCAGGTGGGCAAGCTGGGTTCAGAAAAGGCAGAGGAACCGGAGACCCAATGGCCAATCTCCGGATGCTGGAGAATGGAGGAAGGCCGGGAGTTTCAGAAAAACATCTACTTCTGTTTGATTGACTAAAGCCTTTGACTGTGTGGATCCTAATAAATGCTGGCAATTTCTTGGTGGTCTGTATGGGGAGACCCAGCCCGCTCACCTGTCTCCTGAGGAATCTGTATAAGGACCAAGTAGTAACAGTAAGAACAGACCACGGAACCACAGACGGGTTCAAGATTGGGAAAGGCATATAATGTCATTGATAATGTTGCTGATAATACAGATGATGATAATATGGATGATGTGAGCCCCCCGTTGTGCAATGGGTTAAACCCTTATGCTGGCTGACCAAAAAGTCAGTGGTTCAAATCCGGGGAGCGGGGTGAGCTCCCGTGTGTCAGCTCTAGCTCTCCATATGGGGACATGAGAGAAGCCTCCCACAGGAAAACATCAAACATCTGGATGTCCCCTGGGCAAAGTCCTTGCAGGCTGTCAATTCTCTCACACCAGAGGCAACTTGCAGTTTCTCAAGTCACTCCTGACATGAAAAAAGAAAAGAAGAAACATGAATGATAATATGGATGTTAATGATGATGATAGCCATTACCTGTGGTCAAGTAGAGGACATTGTAGGAGGCCTCATCAGCCGCCTGGACTTGATGGACCCCCATTTGCTGGTAGTGATGCTTGCCATAAAACACAGCTTGCTTTTTCACTTTGTCCAACACTTCGGGATGGCTGTCTGCCACTCTGAAGGTTTCTTGGGGAGTCATCTCATCTCTTCCCGGGCACTATGGCACAGAAAAGCACGCGGTTCATGGCAACTGATTTGGATAAGCAAGGGCCTCTATGTGGGGTGGGGGTGCCGGTGGCTCTCCAGAGGTTTGCGACATCAACTCTCACAACCCTTCCAATGGCAATGCTGAACAGGATCAACCAGAGTTGTAATCCAAAACATCTGGAGGATCCAATGTTCCTATTTCAGATCCATACAGTGGTCAAATGCTCTGCTGCCTCAACAGAGTCGGTGATCAAAGGGAGAACTCTGGCTTTGAGCGCCATATTATTCCTATAACAGTAAAGGGGTGGACTAGATGACCTCTGAGTATCCGGCTATTGATACTGGTTTTTTACTGCTTTAATGAATGTTTTACTTATTGTTTTAATTGTTATTATATTGTCGTGGCATCAAATTGCTGCCAAATGTAAGCCATGCTGAGTCCCCCTTCGATGGAACGGGATAGAAATATTGGAAATAAATAAATAAATAAATATCCCTTCCAAATGTATATTTCCATATTATTCCTATAACAGTAAAGGGGTGGACTAGATGACCCTTGAGTATCATTGGAGTTGCATTAGAGGATCTAAATATTCTTAAAGGAACACTTCTCTGGGAATCTCTAGGGCCTCCAATACAACGTCTGCTAGAAGTTGACTATAGAGTCCACAAACATTTCTAGGCAGGTGTTTATTCTCTCACGTTAAAAAATAGTACTTGAAAGCCACTTTTCCTCTTACTTCCACAGCAGTCCAATGCTCCTAACCCTCATGAAAGTAGAGGGACTACCATCAAGTTTTGTCTTCATGCTCCTGGTAGTCGTTGTGTAATACACACAACAACAACATTGTTTTCCTAAGTTTTAGAAGTCACCTCTAGAGGAAGTCACAGGGAAGAAGGAGCAAGCTTCCTTTCTGCTGCCCTGGAGAGAGACCAGGACGCAATGGAGCCATGGCTTCAAACTACAAGAAAGGAGATTCCACCTGAACATGAGGAAGAACTTCCTGACTGTGAGAGCCGTTCAGCAGTGGAACTCTCTGCCCCGGAGGGAGTGTGGTGGAGGCTCCTACTTTGGAAGTTTTTAAACAGAGGCTGGATGGCCATCTGTCAGGGGTGCTTTGAATGCAATATTCCTGCTTCTTGGCAGAAAGGGGTTGGATTGGATGGACCATGAGGTCTCTTCCAACTCTATGAGTCTATCTGTTTCGGGTATGGGCAAACTGGGGCAGAAGCAATACAGTCTTCTACTCCCAATGACCTACGAATGCCCTGTCCATACAGCCGCATCTTACGCCTTTCCATTCAACCCATGACTCCTTCCATATGGGTACACCCCTAGCCATGGAGGAAACATGATGCCAAGGACACCTCATTAATATTGGCTAAGGTTCCTTACCTGCCCAGGCCTGATAGCAGGGAGTTTCCCATTGTAGCCTTTGAGGTGTGATTTTCGGAAGACCTCACTAATTCCACCAACGGAGAAGACACAGACCGCTGAATAGTCCCTGTGGACAAGAACCATGAATAGTTATCACCCTGTTGAAGTATGTTAACCCAAGGCTAGACACCATAATTTCATATAGGGACAGAAAGAGCGATGGAGTGGCACCCAACCAGGTATGTTATCTTGCCCTATTGCAGCAGTTCTATGCTTGGGGGTCACCACAACATGAGGAACTGTATTTAGGGGTCATGGCATTAGAAAGGTTGAGAACCACTGCCCTATTGAAACTCCACTCACTTGGATTCAAGCTCCACCAGAAATATGTGCTTATTTTTTCTCTACATGGGCTGAGGTATTCGGATTGATGGACCCAACAAAAGTAACTTTTCCAAGCACTTTTCTAATGATGAGCCAAAGGGCCAAAGCGCAGACATATATTTACATTTCTTCCTTTTGTTATAGCGTCCGAGTAATCGTTGGCCCATTAGATGTTTTGAACATCATTGCCAAGAAACCACCAAGTAACATGGGTGTTGTAGTGCCAAGGGTTCTCCCTCCATGATGTATTATAATGGTAATGATAATAATAATATAATATATTATTATTATTAGGTTCTTGTGGGTTTTTTCGGGCTATAGAGCCATGTTCTAGAGGCATTTCTCCTGACGTTTATAGCCCGAAAAAACCCACAAGAACCTAGTGATTCCAGCCATGAAAGCCTTCGACAATATTATTATTATTATTAAACTTTAGAAAGTGTACACAGCATTTGCAAGCAGGAACCATCTTGGAAACTGTTTAGGTTTAGCAAAGTGGTTGTTTTCTTCAAACCATTGCTTCAAGCCCATCCAGACTGCAGCACTGCTGTTCCCCTTTAACTGCCATAAGTCCATTCTTTGCAATGCTGGGGTTTGTAGTCTCCAAGAATCCCCAAAAAGGGCCAATCCCAGGTTTCCGTAGGATGCAACAATGGAAGTTGAGGTGGGCCACTCTTTTGATCCTGGTGCACTTCAAATCTTGGAGACAACTCCATTGACATAAAGGAAGTCCCTCCCAAGCAATGTCTCCGCGTCTATGGGCATTTTGGAAGTCACAAGGTGCTCACCATTCATTTGAGAAGAGCCCATACACTGCCGTCTCAGACCAAATGGGAGACTCAACTATTACAATATCCTGCAAATGGTTGAAATGCCGGTCGGTGGCCTCATCCACGCAAAACAAGGTGGCCTTCAGGAAGGTTGTCCACTTGGAAGAAGACAGGGAGCCACTGCCTCCTTTGTCTCCCTGCAGAGAAAGAAGAAAAGAAGTCAGTCGAGAGCAGGGCTTCCTAAACTGTCGTCCTTTAGATGTTTTGGCCTTCAGCTCCCAGAACACCTGAATATTGGCCAAGCTGGTTGAGGCTTCTGCAAGATGAAGTTCAAAGCAACTGGAGGACCAACCTCAATGGTCTAAATCAGGCATTGGCAAACTTTGGCCATCCGAGTGCGTTGGACTTCAACTCCCACAACTGTCCAAAACACCCGGAGGGCCAACGTTTGCTCATGCCTGCTCTAGAGGCTGGCAGTTAGCTGATCCAGGTAAGGTTGCCTGTACCAAACCTTTAATGGAAATTTCAGTCGGTGTGGCTTACTGCATGATAAACAACTCAAACTGACATTTCCTCTTCTACAAAACTGTTGAAGGTTGAAAACTGTTGAAGCCTCTCCAAGCAACAGATCTCAAGCCAAATGCCCGTCAATCCAACAAGGCCAAAGCTCAGTGCCCAAGAGCAAGAGGTGCGAATGGGTCTACTGACCATGGCTGTCGTAGCCATTTTCTCTGCCAAGGGCCGGGACTAGGAGCAAGGTAGGAAGTCACCAGAGACTTCCTGTGGTTGGACGCTTAGGTCAATGACCCTCCTCGGCCCATCCGCTTCTAGCAACAACAACAGATGTAGGAACCAAAACTTGCAATGCAGAACGCAGATGCAATGCGAAAGGAAACAGCTGTGAGCCGGCTGCCCCAGTCTCATCCCCTCTCCAGAATTACTTGCTTCCCAAAAAGTATTAGTCAGATGTGGGAGCTCCTCACCTTGCATAACTGAGCCACTCGAGAGATGATTTTGGGGGCAACCGAGTTCCTTGGCCAGTCTGGGTTGTCCTCTCGGAAGAAGTAATAGATTTTTTCATTGTCTGGCGTGTCTTGCTTTATGATGGTGGCCTTCACGAACTGCGGGTCTGAAAATGGGAACACAAGAAATACCATGCTGATCTGACTCAAAATGCACCTGGCCTCTTCCGTTCCCTCCAACCATATCTTTCTGCAGAGCTGAAAAACATGGTTATGAGTGTTGGGTTTCCTTCCTGGACTATACAAGTCTCTTGTGTCATTAAGTTTCCAGACCTCAATGAGGAGCTAACCTAGAGATAGGATTAGGCTAAGGGAACCCTAAAACACAGTTAAAAACATAACAACATATAATATAATATAAGCAATCTCACAAAACAATTGAAAATGGCAAAATACAAAAACATCGTAAAAGCGTCTCAAACCAACCTCAACAAGCAGTAACATGGTGGGCATGATCGGTCTAGAGAGGGTGGGGCATAGGCTCGTGCAAAAAGCAAACTATAGAGCCAGGCCAAGGGTAAAGTGCTGAACACAACCTTATCAGTCAACGAGGGCTGGGCATTCATGAGCAGGGACTAATCCTCATCCAAATGCACACTGGGACATATAGGTTCCCAAATCCCCCCCCCCTCCCCCCGCTGATGTTGACATTCATACAACGGAGCCCTTTCACCGGGAAAGCCCTCATTACTCACTGTTCATGACCGTGTCACTGGTGTAAAGCTCCGTGGATCCCTTGATCCGACGGAAACGAGGAATTCGCCCATTATACCGGTGCTTCTTTATCGTGGAGTAGATGTCTTTGCCTGGGAAACAAGTAGAAGAGAAAGCTTTTAAGGGAGGGAAACTTCACATCTAGTTTTAATCCAGTTCTGTTTGCATTAGCTTTCCATTTCGCTTGCCCGAATTACGAGTGTTCATTCCAACTTACCATCAATAAGGACGAGAGCGTTCGGGTCCAGGCCAAATGGGGCCAGGCCTTGCGCACCCTTCCGAGCTTGCTTCGTATCATTCACCTGAAGGAGAAGAGTGATAATAAGTAATAATATCCCGCCACCATCTCCTGAAGGGACTCGGGGCAGCTGTCGTGACCTTCTCTCCTGGTGTTGTGTGGAACCAGGAAAGACGGCCGTGGCCCGCCCTGCGCATGCTTGAAACAAGGGAAAGGGCTTGCAAAACAGCGCGCATTGGTGCTACAAAACACATACAAGTAAAGCATGTCAACATTAGAACAACACAATATCAAAATGTAAACAACACTTACAAAAAAATTAAACCCAGCCCAAATTAGATACAATTCAATAAAAACGCAGTGATGAGAATCAAAATGGACAATACTCAATTCCGAGTGACATAAAGGGAAAAGAAAAGGCCAAGGACTGGTTGATGCCATCAGAGCCTTTGTAGTTCCATTTTGAGGTCCTGATCACGGCTGAGCTTTTCCTCCTGTTTTTCCTCAATGTGACTGTCACCTGGAATGGCGACATCAATCATCCAAACTTTTTCCTTTTCCACAATTGTGATGCCTGGTGTATTCTGTTCCAAAACTTTGTCAGTCTGGATTCGAAAGCCCCACAGTATTTTTGCGTGTTCATGCTCCACTCCCTTTGCAGGCTGATGATCCCTTTACCAGTTCTTGACTCCTGGCAGGTGGTCCTTGTGACATAAGTTCCAGTGAATCATTTGGGTCACAGGGTTGTGCCTCTGTTTGTAGTCCGTTTGTGCGATTTTCTTGCAAGAGCTGAGGATATGGTCCATGGTTTCATCGTCTTCCTTGCACAGTCTGCATTTGGGGTCATCAGCTGACTTTTCAATCCTGGCCTTAATGGCCTTTGTCCTGATGGCTTGCTCCTGGGCTGCAAGAACCAGGCCTTCTTCCGTCTCCTTCTTCAGGGTTCAATTCATTTCATGAGCCAGAACCAGGTCTTCTCCCTCTCAACTTTTCCTTCCATTTTGTCAAGGAACTGCCCATGCAATGCTTTGTTGTGCCAGCTGTCAGCTCTGGTTTGGAGTGCAGCTTTCTTGCCTGCTGTGCTTGTTGTTGTTGTTGTTTTTGTTGTTGTTGTTAGATACACAACAAGATGACTCCACAGCAAACAAGATCACTCTGCTGACTGTTGTATTGGATCACACGTCGGAAACTTCCCAAGTGTCTAGGACTGTGTGATGTATCAGCATATAAAGTGTGCAGATCCCAGTAAGGTGGCCTTTTGCAGCTGGCAGATGGTAATCTAGTCAGCTGTCTTTAGGCACTGCACCCAGTGTGCCGATCACCACTGGGACCACCTTGACTAGCTAGTACCAGAGTCTTTGCAGTTTGATCCATTATTTATTATTATTGCTTACAGCAATAATATTACAGCAGCAGCAGTAATATTATTATTATTACTGCTACTGCTGCTGCTACTATTATTACATGCAAAGCAAAAACTCAGTGTCCTTTAAAGATGATACCTGTTTTTTAAATCAAGATGCATACTACCCGGAGGCCTTGTTCTCAAGAGGAATCATGGTCTGCCAAGTTTCAGCAGAACAAAGGCTACAAAAATCACATTGGGCTGGAATGTATGGGGACACAAGAGCAGACAGATAGACACGGGGTATCATGCATGCAAAACTCCACTCCGTACCCAATTCCAGCAGGTAGGGTTACAAGCATTGGTTCCACAAATCAACAACTTGTCTTCATACTTCTCCAAGAGTGTGAGATAGTTCTTGCTGTCCTCCTGGGAAGAAAAGAAGAAGAAGCTGGTTGAGATGAAGAAGACAACAACAAACACCAACTACTGTAGCACCCATACTCAAAGGGACATTGGCTTCAAAGGGAGTCTATGTGTTTCTAAAGTCTTTACAAGGCGGCTATGAAAACCATTGGTGATTGGAGCTTTTGAAGACCCACCAGACAAACAACCCAGACTTGTCCCCAAACTCAACACACTGCTTTCCTCTGAATGCAGCTCCTTTCAAACTTTGGTCAACCAAGTGTTTTGAACTTTAGCTTCCAAAATCCCTGAACATTAGCCAATCTGGTTTCGATAGCAAAGGTAAAGGTTTTCCCCTGACATGAAGTCCAGTCGTGTCCAACTCTGGGGGGTGGTGCTCACCTCCATTTCTAAGCCAAAGAGCCGACGTTGTCCATAGACACCTCCAATGGTGCATGGAGCACCATTATCTTCCAGCAGAAGTGTTACCTATTGATTTACTCACATATGCATGTTTTTGAACTGCTATGTTGGCAAAAGCTGGGGCTGACAGCAGGAGCTCACCCTGCTCCCCGGATTCGAGCCACCAACCTTTTGGTCATCAAGTAAGTTCAGGAGCGCAGTGGTTTAACCCACTGTGACACCAGGAGGTCCTCCACCAGAGATATGTGGGAGTTAAAGTCCAAAACTTCTGGAAGGAACTCCTGTGTTAGTGATATGCATGTCTGTCAGCGCAGCTTCACGTGTATTACATTGGTTCTACTGTAAGCTGTTTTCAGTCTCTTTTTAGGAAGAAATGTGAGCTAACAACAACAATGTGTTTATTCTACTCTTGGATGGGGTGAAGAAAGATAGATTCTTGTCTCCTTCTGTCTTCAAATTTTCTTCACTGGGTGCATCTATACTGCAGAATTAATACGGCTAGATACCACTTTGATTGCCATGATGCAATGCTATGGAATCCTGGGACTTGTAGATTGGTGAGACACCAGCACTCTTTCGCCGAGAAGGTTAAAAACGTTGTAAAAGTGCAGCTCCCGGGACTCCATAGCATTGAGCTACGGAAGTTGGAGCGGTACCACAAGGCATTAATCTTGCATTGTAGATGGTCAAACCCAAGAAGGACCTCTGAAGCTTGCTGGTGGGAAGAGACAGTGGAGACAATTCAAGCCAAGAAGATCTGGTTGCTCTAGACTCCCGGAGGAAGGGAATGGGAAGCGGATGCCATCCATGAGCACACCCTCATTACCCAGTTCCTCCCAGTTGAGTCAAACTGGTTGTTCAAGGTCCAAATGGGCCTCCTTCTCTACGCATTGGCAAATAACACCAGCAACGTATTCTAGGGCTTGAATGCTATAGCTATGCTCCATGTAGGATCTCTGCCACAGAGAAAAGGAAGAGTTTGGAGGAACACCGGGAAGCACAGAAGAAAGAACGTGATTGAGTTCAAGAACTCTTCCTGCGTTATATTAAGACAACGGTTGGGGTGCCAATGTTGTTCATAAGGGACAGAACTAAGAGCGACTGAGATGGTTCTGTGGCTTTTTGGAAGGCAACTAAAGCTATTCTTTCCAACATACCTGTCTGCAGTCTGGCGGACTTGCCGTGACATCAAAGGGCTCCTGAAAGAAAGCCAAGAAGGGAAAGCGTCATCATTTCAATTCCGTTTCCATCTGACGCCTGTCAATATGGCTGGGGAGGGACCTGAGAGTTGCAGTACAAGAAGCGTAAGAACTTAGAACCCTTGGTAAACAGAACCATCTCCCTTGGCACCCATCAAGAGGCATTTGCCATTGGCATTTTGCCATTATCCCCACCAACCCCGGCGGGAGCTCTTTATTCCGCTTTGAGGTTTCTTCTTCCACCCTTTTTTAAAACATGAGAATATTCACTGATGTGAAACCATGCCGTTCTCCCAAAGGTGGCAGGTCTCCAAATACCCGGAGGGCCTTTTTGAAACTTCAGGACGGAAACCGGGAGCTGGGCGGCCCAGACCTCCTTACCGTGTGACTGGTGTTGGTCTCAAAGTTGTAGACGTACAGTTTGTTTTCTGCTCCCACAAATACGGACGGCGCCCCTTCTTCGTGGTAAAGCACCACGTGGTTCTCGGGTGTTTCAAATTGGAATTGTTTGCTCCCTACAAAAATAAAACAAAACGAAACAAGTTCAGAATCCTGCTGCCCTTCACACCAGACAGCCTGAGAAGCACTGACCTAGGGCCAAATTCTGTCCTCTGAGGGCGGTGGTTCTCAACCGTCCTTCATACAGTTCCTGCCGCGAGCCCTGAATACAGTTCCTCATGTTGTGGTGACATTGTATTTGTTGCTACTTCATACCTGTAATTTGGCTACTGTTACAAAAGGTAATGTAAATATCTGATATGCCGGATGTATTTTCATTCACGGGACCAAATTTGGCGTAAATACCCGATACACCCAAGTTTGAATACTGGGGGGGGGGGGGGGGGGATAGATTTTGTCATTTGGGAGTTGCAGTTGCTGGGATTTCTAGTTAACCTACAATCAAAGAGCATTCTGAACTCCGCCAACAATGAAATGGAACCAATCTTGGAACACAGAACTCCCATGACCAGCAAAATAAATAAATAAATACTGGAGGTCTTTGAGGGAAATTCACCTAGTTTTGGGGAGTTGTAGTTCACCTACATCCAGAGAGCATTGTGAACCCAAACTCCGATAGATCTGGACCAAACTTGGCATGAATACTCAATATGCCGAAATGAGAACACTGGTGGAGTTTAGGGAAAATAGACTTGATATTAAGGAGTTGTAGTTGCTGGGATTTATAGTTCACCTACACTTAAAGAGCATTCTGAACCCCACCAATGATAGAATTGGGCCAAATGTCCCACACAGAATCCCTATGACCAACAGAAGATACTGTGTTGTTGTAGGTTTTTTCGGGCTATATGGCCATGTTCTAGAGGCATTCTCTCCTGACGTTTCGCCTGCATCTATGGCAGTCATCCTCAGAGGTAGTGAGGTGAGATACTGTGTTTTCTGATGGTCTTTGGCGACCCCTCTGACACTCCCCTTGTGACCTCCCCCGGGTCCCACCTCCAGGTTGGGAAATGCGGCCTTAGATGAACAAAGAGAAGGACTATGCTATGAAAACATCAACATCATTTCCTGACTTGGATAACGCAAACTGAACTGAAAATACCGGAGTGTTTATTTTTGTATTCAGTGGACAACCTGCTTTGTTTGTTAACTCTGCCTCCCAAAACAAAAGATCTCAGTTCGTGCTGCGCTGCCCAATCCCATAGGAGCCAGGAGAGCCCAAAACGGCTCCTATGGAAACTGAAACTCCAACGCAACATTGAACACTCCTATCTGAGCCTGCCTTGCCTTTACCACAGCTCTCCGGAGAGCATTAGATAATTGCGCCAAGAGGCCCCACCAAGACCTTCTGGGCTGCCAGGCTGCATGAGTCACCCCTTCACTTTCTGAGGAGGGAATCCTCGGCTCTTCTGGTGATGCTCCAGGCCAAACTCACACCCGCTGGAGACTTGGTCGGCCTCCCAGCACTTCTGCCCGAGGCTTGCTAGTATTCCAAGGCAACAACTTGGAGGTGACGAAATCCCTTTGGAGGAGGCTGGGAACGAACAGCCCTGGAGCTAAAGGCAACCGTCATCTCCACCCTCAACACCCAGCAACGGGGTTGTTCAAAACACTCCCATCGATACCAACGGAACGTATTTTATAAGACAAACTGCAACAGGCAGTTAGGCTGAACCAAGGAACCTCTTGTTGACACCAAGTTGAAGTCATTCATTTCGATATTACCCACAGGTTTCTGTTAATATTAAAAGTACTGAAATGCATCTCCCGTGGATACAGCATCGGCACTCTATTTGGGCCCAAATAGCAGGTTCAAGAACATAAAAACGTTCTTCTCGTCTTCCACATACATCTAATGGGCTGCAAAACTTTCCATTTCCAAATCCCTCATTGGCACGCTTTGAATCACAGAATCCCAGAGTTGGAAGAGACCTCATGGGTCATCAAGTCCAGCCCCATTCTGCCAAGAAACAGGAAAATTGCATTCAAAGCACCCCAGACAGATGGCCATCCGGCCTCTGCTTAAAAGCCTCCAAAGAAGGAGCCTCCACCACACTCCAGGGCAGAGAGTTCCACTGCTGAACAGCTTTCACAGTGAGGACGTTCTTCCTCATGTTCAGGTGGAATCTCTTTTCCTTAATTTGAAGCCATTGTTCCACGTCCTAGTATCATCATCCTATTAACCACCTCCCCAAAAGTTGACTTGCTGGTCTAGCCCAGCTTTCTCTTCATTGAGAATAAACTGGCCCAACTGACCACTGAGATGGAAGAAGTATTCATAGGTCCCTCCATTGCAAGAAGGGACAGAAAAACCAGACCGTTCCATCTAATACGGTTCCCTTTAATAAGTCTGCACAGGAACCTGGCTCAATCCCAGTCTGTCGCTATTGTCCGCCAAGTTGGAACTTTTGCAGAAGACTTCAGTGCATGATGCAATGTTGCGCTTTGTAACTCAATGGGGCAGACCTGGGTCAATGGTGATAACAGGGGCCCAGTCTGGCAGGAGAGCTGCAGAAGCCAACAAAACGGGCCAAACAGCAGGAAGTTTGCACAGAGGAGAAGGAAACCAAGTCCAAGGAGAACAAAACAAACCAATGTCATTCAGTAGCATTCATAGTCATTAAATAGTTTTTCATGACTTCATCTTTGAACTTGTGGAAAGCTGCTTGTTATCAAGCCTTGCTGGTGAAAACCCAAAAGGTAACGCTTGGTATGCAATCTTAGATATGCAGATGATACCACTTTGATGACTGAAAGCAAGGAGTAGCCGAGGTGCCTTAGTGTGGAGTTTCAGAAAAACATCTAGTTCTGTTATATTGACTTAAGACTTTTACCGTGTGGATCATAATAAACTGTTGCAAGTTCTTGGAGGAATGTATGGGGAGACCAAATCCCCTTCTCTGTCTCCTGAGGAATCTGTATAACGACCAAATAGCAATAGTGAGAACAGACCACGGAACAACAGGCTGGTTCAAGATTGGGAAAGGAGTACGGCAGGGTTGTATATTCTCACCCGAACTAGTCAACTTGTATGCAGAACACATCATGCGATGTGCGGGGCTTGACGGATCCAAGGTTGGAGTTAAATTTGTTGGAAGCAACATTAACAACCTTAAGATATGCAGATGATACCACTTTGATGGCCGAAAGCAAGGAGGAGCTGAGGAGCCTGATAAACAACGTGGAAGAAGAAAGGGCAAAAGCTGGGCTGCCGTTAAACATCAAGAAAACCAAGATGATGGCAGCCAGACTGATGGATAACCGGCAAACGGAGGGAGGAAACCTGGAGGCAGGGGCAGGGTTTGCATTTCTAGGCACAAAGGTTACTGCAGATGGCAGCCAGGAAATCAGAAGATAAAAGAGTGAAGAGTAGAGACATCACACTGGCAACAAAGATCCGCATAGTTAAAGCAACGGTACTTCCCACAGTAACCTACGGATGTGAGAGATGGGCCATAAGGAAGGCTGAGTGAAGGAGGAGAGGTGCTTTTGAACTGAGAGGAGCTGAAGGAAAACCCTGAGAGTGCCTTGGACCACAAGAAGATCCAGCCAGTCCATCCTCCAGGAAAGAAAGCCCAACTGCTCATTCGAAGGATGGATATGAGAGGCAAAGATGAAATCCTTTGGCCACATCATGAGCAGACAGGGAAGCTTGGAGAATGAAGCTGGGGAAGATGGAAGGAAAAAGGAAGAGGGGCCAACCAAGGGCAAGTTGGGTGGATGTTATCCTTGAAGCAACAGGCTGGACCTTGAAGGAGCTGGGGGTGGCCACGGCCAACACTCTGATGTGGGCTGGTCCTTGAGGTCATGAAGAGTCGGAAGTGACTGAACAAATAAACAGCAACAACGCTTGGTTCTGGTGCCATTCGTGCAACGTTCAAGCCAACCTATTGGCCTGTTTGTATCAGAACAGAGCACAATGTCCAAGGAGAAACTTCAAGAAGACACCAAAAGCACTATTTCGGCACATTTGGTCATGCAACTTAACCACCGGGTCAGATACATTAGATCTCTGAGTCCACATGGATTGTCACAAGTTGCTCTTTTGTATATTCCATGTCAGGAAACTTGATGAAAATTGTCTTGAGTAGTAGTATCTCTGAGGCATTCCTCTCAGCGTGACACATGCCTCCTTCCTATCATTTGGGGATACACAACTTGTGCCCCAACAAAAAACTGGCTTCCATCGTCTGTTACTGTTGATGAGACTGATTTGCCAATATTTTTAGGTCCTCCAGGCAATGTTATGGTATACATCAGTTGGACACTGACCACAAGGTTGTGATGGGGGATGTAGCGATGCCTAGAGAGCACATTTCCAATCACATCCATGAATATTCAAATCCATTCAAGTCAAGACCTCAAATATAGAGTGACGACTCTACTTTCTCCCATCTATATCTGCCTCCAGAAAAGGCAAAGGTCTGCTTCCAGTCCCTAAATGGCAGCTTGTGTTATTGAGTTAACCAGAAGAGAAGGGCAAGGGGTTCAAATGGGATCAACCCGCTGTGCAAAATTAATCATTGCCACACTGCTAGTGAGTGACACATTTCCAAGCTTCTCTATCAGCTCCAAGGCTAAAGGGCAGGGAGCACGTGGCATCTTTGAAAAAAGAAATCTCTTTGAAAAAAGTAATGCTCCCCATGCTCTATTCCGCTTTGGTTAGACCACTTTACCTGGAATATTGTGTACAATTCTGGGCACCACAATTCAAGAGAGATCTGGACTCTAAGCTGGAATGTGTCCAGAGGAGGGCGACTAAAATGATCAAGGGTCTGGAGAACAAGCCCTATGAGGAGCGGCTTAGGGAACTTGGCATGTTTAGCCTGAAGAAGAGAAGGCTGAGAGGAGATATGATAGCCATGTATAAATATGTGAGAGGAAGCCACAGGGAGGAGGGAGCAAGCTTGTTTTCTGCTTCCTTGGAGACTAGGACGCAATGGAAAAATGGCTTCAAACTACAAGAAAGGAGATCTGAACATGAGGAAGTGTTCCCTCACTATATTGCGGTTTGCAGTGGAACTCTCTGCCCCGGAGTGTGGTGGAGGCTCCTTCT